TTTCCTGGCACCGCTGGGTCCCCAGAAGAGAGACCTGAAGGTTGCAGCTGAAAGAAAGAAAGGAGCCTTTTAATGATCACCCTGCAGCCTGCGTGGGGGCGTTCTACCAAAGATGTTCTCTGCAACCAGGCATGGTGACACGTGACGGGAGGAGGATTCACAAGTTCAAGACCCTGTCTTAAATAAATAAATAAATAATAAAGGGCTGGGGATGTCGCTCAGTGGCAGAGTGCTCCTGGGTTCAACCCCCCAGTACCCGGGCAGGGAGAGTGTTCTTTGCCTCCTTGAGCCAGCCCCATATGTTCGGATCCGTAAGGAAGGGCCGTAAGGATGTTGGTTTCACAGAGATGTTAAATGACGCTTTGTCCTTGCTCTGGTGGTGACTGGGCCTCCCATGCCGCCCAGGCCTGGACCAGGCTGAAGCAGAGCTGAGAGGAGCACCCATCCCTGCCTGGATTGGCGAGGGCCCTGGAGGGAGGGAGGGAGGGAGGGAGAGCTCTGGGCGTTGCCGCTTGCTTCACCCTGGTGTTGTGGGACTCTCCTGCACGGATGCGGATGCGAGGGGCTGCGGACTTCTTAGCTTCTTCCTTACTGTGGCCCTGCCATTCCTGTGTGCCTTCTCAGTAGAGCCGCCTGAGTGAGGGCTTCTATTTCAATGCAAGTCACATCTGGCCACTGTTGTGTCCTTGTGCCGACCCTTCGTATCTCAGCAGAGGCCTCCTGCTTGCTCTCTGGCTCCAGTGTGCACTCTTCGGCCCTCCACGGCCTTGACATTAGCTGCTCCTGCTTTTTTTGGGGGGGCTGGTGGTGCTGGGAATTGAACCCAGGGCCTGAGGCTTTCCAAGCAAGCACATCCCCAACCACTGAGCCACATCCCCAACCCTCTACATTGGCTTCTTAGCTGCTTCTCACCTGCACTAGACCTTGGCCTTCGCTGGCTTCTCTGCCTGCTGTACCTTCCCCCACGTGGCCTATTTCCTGATCTCCAGCACATCCTTAGACAAAATGCATTTCTTGCCCAGCGTCATGGACCACCCTCTGTAACTTGGCGTCTGTCCACCCCTGCACTCCTGAATCCCCTCCTGCTTGACTTTCTCTACGTGACTCACATTTTACTTATTTCATTCCCCCCTCCTCCCTACGAAAAAAGTAAGTGGTGTGAGGGCAGGGGTTTCTGTTCCATTCGTGGATGAAGACCTGCCACCCACCTGTGTCGGTCACATTGGGTCGACCAATGACGGGTAGGATGGGGGGAATCATTTCAGGCCACATGGGCAGCTAGTGCCCGAAGCCCTTCCTGGCAGCCCCAGTGTGACTCCTGCCCGGCTCCCCCCA